TTAAAGTCCTTTATTAATGTTTTAGTATAGTAAAGTCCGTAATGACTTAATTATTGAGTAAAGTTAAAGTTCATAATTTATGTTTTAGTTTAAAGTCCTAAATTAATGTTTTAGTATAGTTAAAGTCCATAATGACTTAATATTTGCGTATAGTTAAAGTTCATAATTAATGTTTTAGTATAAAGTCCTTAATTCATGTTTTACTATTCTTAAAGTAATTATTTGATGTTTTACTATTGTTAAAGTCATATAATAATTTTTAGGATAAAGTCCTTAAATAATGTTTTACTATTCTTAAAGTCCATGGTTAATGTTTTAGTATAAAGTCCTTAATTAATGTTTTAGCATAGTTAAAGTCCGTAATGACTAAATGTTTGAGTATAGTTAAAGTTCATAATTAATGTTTTAGTATAAAGTCCTTAATTCATGTTTTACTATTCTTAAAGTAATTATTTGATGTTTTACTATTGTTAAAGTCATATAATAATTTTTAGGATAAAGTCCTTAAATAATGTTTTACTATTCTTAAAGTCCATGGTTAATGTTTTAGTATAAAGTCCTTAATTAATGTTTTAGCATAGTTAAAGTCCGTAATGACTAAATGTTTGAGTATAGTTAAAGTTCATAATTAATGTTTTAGTATAAAGTCCTTAATTCATGTTTTACTATTCTTAAAGTCCATGGTTAATGTTTTAGTATAAAGTCCTTAATTAATGTTTTAGCATAGTTAAAGTCCGTAATGACTAAATGTTTGAGTATAGTTAAAGTTCATAATTAATGTTTTAGTATAAAGTCCTTAATTCATGTTTTACTATTCTTAAAGTAATTATTTGATGTTTTACTATTGTTAAAGTCATATAATAATTTTTAGGATAAAGTCCTTAAATAATGTTTTACTATTCTTAAAGTCCATGGTTAATGTTTTAGTATAAAGTCCTTAATTAATGTTTTAGCATAGTTAAAGTCCGTAATGACTAAATGTTTGAGTATAGTTAAAGTTCATAATTAATGTTTTAGTATAAAGTCCTTAATTCATGTTTTACTATTCTTAAAGTCCATAATTAATTTTTTAGTATAAGGTCCTTAAATAATGTTTTTCTTAAGTCCTCAAAGTTATTAATTTATATTTTACGATAATTAACTTTTCGTAATCAATGTTTACATTACAGATGAAGTACATACTTCCGTTACTTCTTGTCTGCCTCTTTCTCTTGGTGGCTCAGTCCGAAGGATTCAAGCTCCCGAAGTGTGCAGAAAGTGAGTAAAATGCACCTACCTCCGATACACACAAAAATTAAGACTTGTTCAGATTTATCTTAAAGGCCACCATGGCATTAGCATTCAACATTACTTTTCACCTACCTTCCTACACCAATCCTAACTAACCATCCTAAACCAGCCAGTCCTTACTTACCTTCCTACACCTGTCCTTACTTACCTTCCTACACCTGTCCTTACTTACCTTCCTACACCAGTCCTTACTTACCTTCTTAAACCAGTCCTAACTTACCTTCCTACACCATTGCTAACTTACCTTCCTACACCAGTCCTTACTTACCTTCCTACACCTGTCCTTACTTACCTTCCTACACCTGTCCTTACTTACCTTCCTACACCTGTCCTTACTTATCGTTTTTTTTTTTATATATATACTTCAGTCCTTATTTACTATCATTTACCAGTCTTTACACCATCATACGTCGATTTTAACTTTAAACTTCAGTCTTCATACCAGTTTTATTATTTAAACAGTATTCTGACACTGTCATGTCTGCTTCTGTAAAGTTGATTAAGAATATGACCAACGATGGAATAAATAAACTGATACTGTATTAACACGTTTGAAATAATCCTACTCTAAGCTTATTTTGATTTGTTTCTTTTTGAAGTAGACCTTAAAGATATACATGTATTTAATATTTCAGTATGAAGTTCATTTATTACGGTAAGATATTTTATGTATATCTTTAGAATGCCCAACGTATGACAAAAATTGTGTCCAAGTGAACGGAAAACTGGAGACAAAAGACTGTTCTACTTACACGTGCAAGAAAGTGGGATACCTGCTTGTAGTTCAGTGTATTAGAAAGGGTACAGTATGATTTTGTTATTTTGTCATTATAGTAATATTATAGCGTACTATTTATACCGGGTGCTTTTATTGAGGGTGTTAGGATGTTATTTTTGAGGGGGTTGGGGGTGGGGGTTGTCGCTATTTTTGCCAATTGGAAGATAGAATGTAATGGATTGAAATGGATTAAGAAGAATTTAAAAGCCAAAAATGAGCGAGTGTTATGTATATGTATAGTAGATTGTATGTTACAGACGAGTGGTGCCCCCAATCAGTATGAAGGAAAATAAGAAAATTTGGGAATGCCAAGGTTCTTAAAGAGAGAAATAAACCGGTCCATAGTGCTTAATGCATATACACTGGCTCGTTCTATAACTACAAAACACAATGCTTGAAAAAGACAATTAAAAATCTTTGGACTCGATCGGCATCCAAACATCAAACGAGTGATGAAATAATACTTGTCTTGTGATGCTCTGATAAGGCCACAAAGACGGTTTTATTGGAATGAGCTCAGAGGCGTCTGTAATGCCAGTTCTTATTAACCACGTATTAGACCACAACGCTTAATACTTTGAATGGCATCATCAACCGTAACATATTTCAGACATGTGATTTTTTCTATTAAACTTCAAACTAGGATTATTTTTCCTCCTAATGTGGAGCAGATAAATCTACAAGCAAACGATTTTTAGAATATTATTGTTCCGCTAAACCAATGGCATTGATATGGTAATGTTGGTATGGAATATAGTCAAAAGGACCTATAATGTATCCCTTCTCCAATTCTTTCTCTAATAAAACACGTACGCTTTCAGAGTCCCTAGTTGCTGATAGCAAGTTCTTACAAATAATAGACTAGACAGGGATGTACTCTAAACCTGTGTCAAAACCTTAGTTAGACCTTATATAAGATGATTCACAAAAGACTGACTTGGGTGTCCTGAAAGCTCAGAAAACAATACTCTAACATTGACCGCAGTAGGTGTTCAAAAGTGAGAAGTCACAGCTAAGTACATTTCTTTTGAAGCTGGCGGATCCACAAAGGGCAAGCTACTCTAGTATAATTACCCTTGCAGTTCAAGCAGACCTGTAGAAATTGGCAGCGGGTGGAGACACTCTCGAACCGACCTTCGCGTAAAACTCTAGGTCCGCCTTTATAGTTCGAGGTATTTGGCATTTCTTTGGACGATTTTGAAGTGATGTTGCCTGAAGTATGCCCAAGATCCAGATTAATATCCTGGGTAGTAACAGGGCAGATCTATGATTAATGAAGAGTGTTATCGCAGTGTGAATACGCCACATGGGCTTAATTTGCAAAAATATTGCAAAATAGTGTATTGTCTGGCACAGACCAATCAATTCTATTATTTTAGGTGAACTGATCATTAGCTCTTAAAGAAAAACTGACGATGGTACTCATAAAACTCAGATTTATAACGGGTAGCCTTGTCAACAATATCACGTTAATTCAGGTCCAAATCAACGCGCTTGTGGGGATGAGCGTCACACATGACCTGTTTATCAACGCCAAAAGGCCAATATAAATTCGCCCAGATATAACGATCTGGTTAAACGAGCATCATGTTTTTCGTTGAAACAACTGGTCTCAGTCTGATCGCTTAAGTATGGAATCAGAATGGCCGCCAAGTTGACATCCTCCCCAGTAATAATTTGTTGACGTAGAGTCGGGGATATGGTTTCAACTAGCGGCAACGTTTCTGATTCCAAGCCATAGCTGGTGCGTTGGGAATGGATTGCTCACCTGCTAGAGTGCTAGAAGTTCTTTCCTCCTGTAGCCTTTGATTTGCCGTCTCGAGTGATAATCCATCAGTTTGCGAAGAAACATGTATAGTCGCTCGATTTAATTTGGGCTTCCAGCGGCAATAGCAGGTTGTCTCCTCCGTGAAACTGTCTCAAAGACTCATACTCTTATCTGGAGTAAACAATTCTGCAACGTGTTAACACTATCTGCCAAGCTAGAGATCATATTCACGATATTGGAAGGCAAACTAGTCACCGTACTTCCGGAATGTCCGCCATCAAGACGCAGGAAATTGTTGGATTCCGGAGTGGCACAATTAATTGTCAAATTTTCTAGCAACCCGGGATCGTAAGGAGCTGGCCTGAAAGTGTTCCTTTGTTTAGGCGCCATGGTAATAAATTACATAATCAGATACCATGAGAAAATCTGAAAAAGCGTGACGAATGACCCACTGACACGGAAGTTCGTCATTAAAACACTAGGGTTGAAAAGAGGAAATGTACAAAGAACAAGTGTGTAGCACAGGTATGCAGAAATCCTAAAAGTTCACCCGAGGCAGAAAGGCTACATCACTTTTAGACATAGACCCTAGATCATTTCAAGTCCTAAGTCACGCGTATATTTGTTCTCCGTAGCAAGTAGATAATGAAAGTAACAAGTCCAAAAATAAACATCAAACTGAAAACTGAACTGAATCCCTATCAATACATCAATAATAATGCCCCGCTTGGGCATATTGCTGATTGGTCCATCAGCTGGATCAACTTTGTTGCATACTACTTATAAATAGCTAGTTTATATAAACCCAAGCTCTAGCGTGTACATCTATACCAACTCCTAAATTATTGCTGCTGATTTAGAAGAGGAGAAAGTGCGGTAAATAGAAAGATACATTTTTTATGAACTCAAAATCAATTACAAATCAAATTGACATTATAAGTTTGACAATCAGCGACCGATCACGTGTACGTGTTATCGGTATTGAGGTGTAGTAATGTGTATCATACCTACAGTGTTATGCGGGAGTACGGCCTTATTGGTAAGGTTTCATTTGTATCGCTGAAGTAGGATCGGACTGATGTTCCAGATGGTGAGCAATTATAGTGTAACTCAGTGAGGAAAAGCGTAATTCGCAAGAGCGGGCGCCATGAAGCTGATGGCGTAATGGGTGACTCGGAGATTGGAGGAAGGTTGCCGGGGCTCTTAGAAGCTTACTGTGGGACGGGCGAACATGGGACACAATGGCGATGTAGGTTCTTCTTCATTTTTATTGAGGAGTGACAGCGAACTTGACAAAGGACTAACTGGAAATAGGATTAATGTATATTTGGTCTAATTCTGTCAAACTTCAGGGATCGGATAGCAATAATCTGGTATGTGATTGTGATCACGTAAAATTGATTATCTTGTAGGCAACATAATAGTACAAGTGCCATTGACCGGGAGCTCCAATATTGCTTTGTTTAGCAAACTGTCGTCTTTACAGTCAACGTATACTGATTGTTAGTACTGCCGATTGTCCTCGTCGCACGTTATGCATTCCGTCAGGATCGACTGACGTGGTTGCATCATTTGCACAACTGGCTCAGAACTGCACAAAAAATCTTCAAATGAGCCAAGATTCTTGCTGAGTCGTGTCCGTTCCAACAACCATGAAACTAAAACTATTACAGACACGACTCCAACCACACCATCCAAAACAGTGTCAGTAATTTTTTGACGTTGTGATGAAAATTATGTCGATAACTGCATGCAATATGTTCATTGTTGCTACTGAAATCGTGTAAACTTAAACCTGTAAACCGCTGCAGCGGCAAATCCCAGCGGTACTTATTTAATTTTCCCATGCAGTTTATCTGCTAGTATATATGGTAATTTAGAGACAGTGCTCGGTGCTTTGTGGCGAGGCGTGGAATGGACTGCTTTAACCAAATCAATTTCGACACCCTATCTAGCCTCGATGGCAGAGTGACACACAATATTAATGGCGGAATTCCAGCTGCAAGAATTGCTAACGGATGTTAGGAAGATTCCAATGGAAACTCTTTTTCATTCTTGACCCCTTTTTGCGAGATTATCGCTTGCGCTTAATTTACTGAATAATTCAACATGATTTAAGTATGTTTTCTTATTGTTATGGCTACATACTTAATTTTCCGTCATCATTTTTTCTTTATATTTCTCGATAAATACGGAAAAAATAAAGTTCCGCTCACTTGCTTATTAGTGGAGTTGTCAATTATCTGGTGGGAACTACTTTTTATATAATTTCTAAAGATCTCTTTACGTTCAGCTTCGTAGGGAAGTACGGACTACAACTTCGTATAAAACAATGTACAGAAATAATAAACAATGAATGAATAACGGATTTGTCAGGGGAACAATATGTAACGGTTCCACTTAGGATTGGATTTTTGAATACTGAAAAATGGCACAAAACAGCTGTCAATGACGTCACGTCCGGTCATCCAAGCTGTTATGCGTAGTGATTTGTTATAATCGGCCATTATATTATCAACTTTATACATCCAAGTGTTATTTTTTTGAAACCTATATAAGAAATTAATCATACACTGCATGTATTACAAGACGATTTGACGTCTAAATATGATGAGGTCAATAAGAAGTACACCACGCTGATGTCGGTACATAAAACAAGACTGCTTATTATATCGATCGATTAATGAAAATTACTAAAACATTTCAGTGTTCATGTATTATCCTAAGCTAACTTTCTTATTACCTTAAGCCACTTATCTGATTAAATACTTATCTAAATAATTTTTCTTCTCTATTAGTATATTGGAAATATGTATTTTATCATTTTTCGATTTCTTTGTCCTCTCTAGTAGTTTAAAATGCAGTTGGTAGGAAACAGGCATATTGTTGTTCAAAACTGCTTACAAATATGAGGATTTTCATTCATATAATTGTGTTGAACAAATTCAAAGGAAATTTATTATCAACTGTGAATGTGAGACTTTCCGAGTGCTTGCAGTCTAATAATCTTTCTCAAACGGTGGGGCTAAGGCGTTGAGACTTTCTTGTTCACCCATGAATGAGGTTTTGCTTTCTCCTATCGTGTTAGCATTGATGCTTGATGTTTTCAAAGCGTTAATTCTGGAAAAGAGAATTAGTCCATCAACTTGTAAAACACCATTGAAAGTTCTAAAACAACGTTTATAGATAATGGATTTATCATTGTAAATATGAAGATGTAAAATACCCGATCAAGAGGTACATTTCTATATTCAAATGCTGCATGAGGCTGTAGTTGAGTTCATGTCATTTTCATCGTTCGAACTCAGTCGAATATGTCACATCAATGATGATTTTAGATTATTTTCAGGATCAGATGCGTCTTTCCTGGTTATAAAAAACTCTTGATAGATTCATTTCAGGTTTTAAAAAAAAGAGGAAGCATTAAGTTACCGAGAAATTACAATATTGGCATAAAAACATTTGATGAAGAATATTTCCTATGTTGTGTTCGTTTCAATAAAGGAAGCGCAAGGCGATATTCTGTGTATAACCGGTTAATGTTGTTTTTTGGTTTCGTTATCCAGGTTGCAAAGTAAACGGTAAATGTTACTACAAAGGCACGACGTGGAAGGAAGACTGTTTCATTAAGCGGTGTGACGTTCAAAAGAACAAATATGGCAAGCTAGTGGCTACCCCTAAAATTATAAGTGGAGGTAAGTTATTTCTGTAATAATGTCAAAAGAAGAACACCTGCATCAAAAATGTATCAATGCAAGTAAGTTCACTACCCAAATCAACTACACAAATGTCAGTACTTTAAACGAGACTGCTTATCATATCAATAGATTAATGAAATTTACTAAACCATTTCAGTGTTCATGTATTATCCTAACTAGCTTTCTTATTACATTAAGCCACTTATCTGATTAAGTACTAATCTCAATGTTTTTTCTTCTGTATTAATGTGTTGGAAATATTTTTGTATTTTAACATTTTTCGATTTCCATTTTCTTTCTAGAAGTTTAAAATGCAGTTGGTAGTAAACAGGCATATTGGTGTTTTCAAACTGCTTACAAATATGATGATTTTCATTCATATAATTGCGTTGAACATATTCATAGGAAATTTAATATCAACTGTGAATCTGAGGCTTTCCAAGTGCTCGCAATCTTAACATCTTTCTCAAACGGTGTGGCTAAGGCGTTGAGACTTTCTTGTTCACACATGAATGAGTATTTTCTTTCTCGTATCATGTTAGCATTGATGCTCGATGTTTTCAAAGCGTTTATTCTGGAAAAGAGAATTAGTCCATCAACTTGTAAGACACCATGGGAAGTTCTAAAATGTTTAAAGATCATGGTTTTATCGTTGTCAATATAAAGATGAAATATGTCCAATTAAGAGGTACATTTATATATTCAAATGCTGCATGAGGCTGTAGTTGAGTTCAAGTCATTTTCATAGTTCGAACTCAGTCGAATATGTCACATCAATGTTAATTTTAGATTATTTTCAGGATCAGATACGTCTTTCCTGGTTATCAAAAACTCTTGATCAATTCCTTTTAGGGTATACAAAATAAGAGAAAGCATAAAGTTACCGAGAAATTACAATATTGGCATACAAACATTTGATGAAAAATATTTCCTATGTTGTGTTCGTTTCAATAAAGGAAGCGCAAGGCGATATTCTGTGTATAACCGGTTTAGATTTTCTTTTGGTTTCGTTATCCAGGTTGCAAAGTAAACGGCCAATGTTACTACAAAGGAGAGAAGTGGAAGGAAAACTGTAACACTATGCAGTGTTACGTTCAAATGAAAGACAATGGCAGGCTAGTGACTACCCCTACAATTGTAATTGCAGGTACGGTATTTCTGATATAAGGTCAATAAGAAGTACACCCGCATCAATAATGTAGCAAGGCAGGGTAAGTTCACTACCCAAATTAACTACACAAATGTCGGTACTTAAAACGTGGCTGCTTTTCACGTCAATCGATTAATGAAAATTACTAAAACATTTCAGTGTTCATGTATCATCCAAACTAGCTTTCTTAATACATTAAGCCACTTATCTGATTAAGTACTAATCTAACTGTTTTTTCTTCTGTATTAATGTATTGGAAATATGTTTGTATTTCATTATTTTTCGGTTTCCATTTTCTTTCTAGAAGTTTAAAATGCAGTTGGTAGTAAACAGGCATATTGGTGTTTTCAAACTGTGAATCTGAGGATTTCCGAGTTCTTGCAATCTATACATTTTTCTCAAACGGTTGGACTTAGGCGTATAGACTTTCTTGTTCCCCCATGAATTAGAATTTTCTTTCTCCTATCGTGTTAGCATTGATGCTTGATGTTTTCGAAGCGTTAATTCTGGAAAAGAGAATTAGTTCACCAACTTGTGAGACACATGGGAAAGTTCTAAAACAACGTTGATAGATCATGGATTTATGATTGTAAATATGAAGATGTAAAACGCCCGATCAAGATGTACATTTCTATATTCAAATGCTGCATGAGGCTGTAGTTGAGTTCATGTCATTTTCATCGTTCGAACTCAGTCGAATATGTCACATCAATGTTAATTTTAGATTATTTTCAGGAACAGATACGTAATTCCTGGTTATGAAGAAACTCTTGATAGATTCATTTCAGGGTAAAAAAAAATAAGAGGAAGCATAAAGTTACCGAGAAATTACAATATTGGCATACAAACATTTGATGAAGAATATTTCCTATGTTGTGTTCGTTTCAATAAAGGAAGCGCAAGGCGATATTCTGTGAATATCCGGTTAAGGTTGTCTTTTGGTTTCGTTATCCAGGTTGCAAAGTAAACGGTAAATGTTACCCCAAAGGCAAGACGTGGAAGGAAGACTGTAAAACTATGCGGTGTGACGTTGAAAAGAACGGATATGGCGTGCTAGTGGCTACCCCTAAAATTATAAGTGGAGGTAAGTTGTTTCTGATATAAGGTCAAAAGAAGTACACCCGCATCAATAATGTAGCAAGGTAGGGTAAGTTCACTACTCAAATCAACTACACAAATGTCAGTACTTTAAACGAGGCTTTTTATCATATCAATCGATTAATGAAAATTACTTAAACATTTCAGTGTTCAAGTATTATCCTAAGCTAACTTTCTTTTTACATTAAGCCAATTATCTGATTAAATACTAATCTAAATGATTTTTCTTCTGTATTAATGTATTGGAAATATATTTGTATTTTATTATTTTTCGATTTCCATTTTCTTTCTAGAAGTTTAAAATGCAGTTGGTAGTAAACAGGCATATTGGAGTTTTCAAACTGCTTACAAATATGATGATTTCCATTCATGTAATTGCGTTGAACAAATTCAAATGGAATTTAATATCAACTGTGAATCTGAGGCTTTCCGAGTTCTTGCAATCTGAACATCTTTCTCTAGACGTTGGGTTAAGGTGTTGAGATGGAGACTTTTTTGTTTACCCATCAATGAGTATTTTTCTTTTTCCTATCATGTTAGCATTGATGCTTGATGCTTTGAAAGCGTTAATTCTGGAAAAGAGCATTAGTCCATTAACTTGTGAGACACCATTGAAAGTTCTAAAACAACGTTTATAGATAATGGATTGATCATTGTAAATATGAAGATGTAAAATTCCCGATCAAGAGGTACATTTCTATATTCAAATGCTGCATGAGGCTGTAGTTGAGTTCATGTCATTTTCATCGTTCGAACTCAGTCGAATATGTCACATCAATGTTAATTTTAGATTATTTTCAGGATCAGATACGTCTTTCCTGGTTATCAAAAACTCTTGATAGATTCATTTTAGGGTATACAAAATAAGAGGAGGCATAAAGTTACCGAGAATTTACAATATTGGCATACAAACATTTGATGAAAAATATTTCCTATGTTGTGTTCGTTTCAATAAAGGAAGCGCAAGGCGATATTCTGTGTATAACCGGTTTAGATTGTCTTTTGATTTCGTTATCCAGGTTGCAAAGTAAATGGTCAATGTTACTCCAAAGGCAAGACGTGGAAGGAAAAATGTTTCATAATGCGGTGTGACGTTCAAATTATAGGCGGGTACAAACTAGTGGCTACCCCTAAAATTATAAGTGGAGGTAAGCTATTTCTGTTATAAGGTTAAACGAAGTACACCCGCATCAAAAATGTATCAATGCAAGTAAGTTCACTACTCAAATCAACCACACATATGTCGGTACTTAAAACGAGGCTGCTTATCATGTCAAACGATTAATGAAATTTACTAAAACATTTCAGTGTTCATGTATTATCCTAAGCTAACATTCTTTTTACATTAAGCCACTTATCTGATTAAATACTAATCTTAATTATTTTTCTTCTGTATTAATTTATAGGAAATATGTTTGTATTTTATCATTTTTCGATTTCCATTTTCTTTCTAGAAGTTTAAAATGCAGTTGGTTGGAAACAGGCATATTGGTGTTTTCAAAACTGCTTACAAATATGATGATTTTCATTCATATAATTGCGTTGAACAAATTCAAAGGAAATTCCCTATCAACTGTAAATCTGAGATTTTCCGAGTGCTTGCAATCTAAACATTTTTCTCAAACGGTGGGGCCAAGGCGTTGAGACATTCTTGTTCACACATGAATGAGTATTTTCTTTCTCGTATCATGTTAGCATTGATGCTCGATGTTTTCAAAGCGTTTATTCTGGAAAAGAGAATTAGTCCATCAACTTGTAAGACACCTTGGAAAGTTCTAAAACGTTTAATGATCATAGTTTTATCGTTGTCAATATAAAGATGTAAAATTCCCGATCAAGAGGTACATTTCTATATTCAAATGCTGCATGAGTGTGAAGTTGAGTTCAAGTTATTTTCATCGTTCGAACTCAGTCGAACATGTCACATCAATATTAATTTTAGATTATTTTCAGGATCAGATACGTCTTTCCTGGTTATCAAAAACTCTTGTTAGATTCGTTTTAGGGTATACAAAATAAGAGGAAGCATAAAGTTACCGAGAATTTACAATATTGACCAAAAAAAATTTGATGAAGAACATTTCTTATGTTGTGTTCGTTTCAATAAAGGAAGCGCAAGGCGATGTTCTGTGTATAACCGATTTAGACTGTCTTTTTTTTCGTTATCCAGGTTGCAAAGTAAACGGTAAATGTTACTTCAAAGGAGAGAAGTGGAAGGAATACTGTAACACTATGCAGTGTTACGTTCAAATGAAAGACAATGGCAGGCTGGTGACTACCCCTACAATTGTAATTGCAGGTACGTTATTTCTGATATAAGGTCAATAAGAAGTACACCCGCATCAATAATGTAGCAAGGCAGGGTAAGTTCACTACCCAAATTAACTACACAAATGTCAGTACTTAAAACGAGACTGCTTATCATATGAATCAATTAATGAAAATTACTTAAACATTTCAGTGTTCATGTATTATCCTAAGCTAGCTTTCTTATTACTTTAAGCCACTTATCTGATTAAGTACTAACCTAAATGTTTTTTCTTCTGTATTAATGTATTGGAAATATGTTTGTATTTCATTATTTTTCGGTTTCCATTTTCTTTCTAGAAGTTTAAAATGCAGTTGGTAGTAAACGGGTATATTGGTGTTTTCAAACTGCTTACAAATATGATGATTTTCATTCATATAATTGCTTTTAACAAATTCAAAGGGAATTTACTATCAACTGTGAATCTGAGGCTTTCCGAGTTCTTGCAATCTAAACATTTTTCTCAAACGGTGTGGCTTAGGCGTATAGACTTTCTTGTTCACCCATGAATTAGAATTTTCTTTCTCCTATCATGTTAGCATTGATGTTCGATGTTTTCGAAGCGTTAATTCTGGAAAAGAGAATTAGTTCACCAACTTGTGAGACACCATTGAAAGTTTTAAAACAACGTTGATAGATCATGGATTTATCACTGTAAATATGAAGATGTAAAACGCCCGATCAAGAGGTACATTTCTATATTCAAATGCTGCATGAGTGTGAAGTTCAGTTCATGTCATTTTCATCGTTCGAACTCAGTCGAATATGTCACATCAATGTTAATTTTAGATTATTTTCAGGAACAGATGCGTCTTTCCTGGTTATAAAAAAACTCTTGATAGATTCATTTCGGGGTTAAAAAAACTAAGAGGAAGCATAAAGTTACCGAGAAATTACAATATTGGCATACAAACATTTGATGAAGAACATTTCCTAAGTAGTGTTCATTTCAATAAAGGAAGCGCAAGGCGATATTCTGTGAATATCCGGTTAAGGTTGTCTTTTGGTTTCGTTATCCAGGTTGCAAAGTAAACGGTAAATGTTACCCCAAAGGCAAGACGTGGAAGGAAGACTGTGAAACTATGCGGTGTGACGTTGAAAAGAACGGATATGGCGTGCTAGTGGCTACCCCTAAAATTATAAGTGGAGGTAAGTTGTTTCTGATATAAGGTCAAAAGAAGTACACCCGCATCAATAATGTAGCAAGGCAGTGTAAGTTCACTACCCAAATTAACTACACAAATGTCAGTACTTAAAACGAGACTGCTTATCATATTAATAGATTAATGAAGATCACTTAAACATTTCAGTGTTCATGTATTATCCTAAGCTAGCTTTCTTATTACTTTAAGCCACTTATCTGATTAAGTACCAATCTAAATTTTTTTCCCTGTATTAATGTATTGGTAATATGTTTATATTTTATTATTTTTCGGTTTCCATTTTCTTTCTAGAAGTTTAAAATGCAGTTGGTAGTAAACAGGCATATTGGTGTTTTCAAACTGCTTACAAATATGATTTTCATTCATATAATTGCTTTTAACAAATTCAAAGGAAATTTACTGTCAACTCTGAATCTGAGATTTTACATCTTTCTCAAGACGTTGGGTTGAGGCGTTGAGATTGAGACTTTCTTGTTCACCCATGAATGCGTATTTTCTTTCTCCTATCATGTTAGCATTGATGCTTGATGTTTTCGAAGCGTTAATTCTGAAAAAGAGAATTAGTCCATTAACTTGTGAGACACCATTGAAAGTTCTAAAACAACGTTTATAGATCATGGATTTATCATTGTAAATATGGGTATTGTAAAATTCCCGCTCAAGAGGTACATTTCTATATTCAAATGATGCCTGCATGAGTGTGAAGTTGAGTTCATGTCATTTTCATCGTTCGAATATGTCACATCAATGTTAATTTTAGATTATTTTCAGGATCAGATGCGTCTTTCCTGGTTATCAAAAACTCTTGATAGATTCATTTCGGGGTTAAAAAACTAAGAGGAAGCATAAAGTTACCGAGAAATTACAATTTTGGCATAAAAACATTTGATGAAGAACATTTCCGAAGTAGTGTTCATTTCAATAAAGGAAGCGCAAGGCGATATTCTGTGAATATCCGGTTAAGGTTTTCTTTTGGTTTCGTTATCCAGGTTGCAAAGTAAAAGGTCAATGTTACCCCAAAGGCAAGACGTGGAAGGAAAACTGTTTCATTAAGCGGTGTGACGTTCAAATCATAGACGGGTACAAGCTACTGACTACACAGAAAATTATAAGTGGAGGTAAGCTATTTCTGTTATAAGGTCAAAAGAAGTACACCCGCATCACAAATGTAGCAAGGCAGGGTAAATTCACTACTCAAATCAACCACACATATGTCGGTACTTAAAACGAGGCTGCTTATCATATCAATCGATTAATGAAAATTACTAAAACATTTCAGTGTTCATGTATTATCCTAAGCTAACTTTCTTTTTATATTAAACCACTTATCTGATTAAATACTAATCTAAATGATTTTTCTTCTGTATTAATTTATAGGAAATATGTTTGTATTTTATCATTTTTCGATTTCCATTTTCTTTCTAGAAGTTTAAAATGCAGGTGGTTGGAAACAGGCATATTGGTGTTTTCAAAACTGCTTACAAATATGATGATTTTCATTCATATAATTGCGTTAAAAAAATTCAAAGGAAATTTAATATCAACTGTGAATCTGAGATTTTCCGAGTGCTTGCAATCTAAACATTTTTCTCAAACGGTTGGGCCAAGGCGTTGAGACATTCTTGTTCACACCTATGAATGAGTATTTTCTTTCTCGTATCATGTTAGCATTGATGCTCGATGTTTTCAAAGCGTTTATTCTGGAAAGGAAAATTAGTCCATCAATTTGTGAAACAACATGGAAAGTTCTAAAACGTTTAAAGATCATGGTTTTATCATTGTCAATATAAAGATGTCAAATGTGCGATTAAGAGGTACATTTCTATATTCAAATGATGCATGAGGGTGAAGTTGAGTTCAAGTCACTTTCATCGTTCGAACTCAGTCGAATATGTCACATCAAGGACGATTTTAGATTATTTTCAGGATCAGAGACGTCTTTCCTGGGTATCAAAAAATTTTGATAGATTCATTTTAGGGTATACAAAATAAGAGGAAGCATAAAGTTATCGAGAAATTACAATATTGGCATACAAACATTTGATGAAGAACATTTCCTATAAGGCGATATTCTGTGTATAACCGGTTTAGACTGTCGTTTGGTTTCGTTATTCAGGTTGCAAAATAAACGGCCAATGTTACTACAAAGGAGAGAAGTGGAAGGAAAACTGTAACACTATGCAGTGTTACGTTCAAATGAAAGACAATGGCAGGCTAGTGACTACCCCTACAATTGTAATTGCAGGTACATTATTTCTGATATAAGGTAAATAAGAAGTACACCCGCATCAATAATGTAGATAGGCAGTGTAAGTTAACTATCATATCAACCACACCGATGTCAGTACTTAAAACGAGACTGCCTATCACGTCAATCGATTAATGAAAATTACTAAAACATTTCAGCGTTCATGTATTATCCTAAGCTAGATTTCTTAATACTTGAAGCCACTTATCTGATTAAATGCTAATCTAAATGTTTTTTCTTCTGTATTAATGTATTGGAAATATGTTTGTATTGTAACATTTTTCGGTTTCCATTTTCTTTCTAGAAGTTTAAAATGCAGTTGGTAGTAAACAGGCATATTGGTGTTTTCAAACTGCTTACAAATATGATGATTTTCATTCATATAATTGCTTTTAACAAATTCAAAGGGAATTTACTGTCAACTCTGAATCTGAGGCTTTCCGAGTTCTTGCAATCTAAACATTTTTCTCAAACGGTGGGGGTAAGGCGTATAGACTTTCTTGTTCACACATGAATGAGCATTTTCTTTCTCCTATCATGTTGGCATTGATGCTTGATGTTTTCTGTCACGTAGACCGAGTCAGCCAAGTAATTACATTAAAGAATTTCACAACTCAAAGACTGTGGTAATTTCTAACATTTAATAAAATAACAACAATAACAATATTATACAGTTAAGATTCTAAGTAACCCCCATCTCTGGAGCTCCAAGACTAACTCTGACCTACAGTGGCTAATAAATTCCCTGAATGGAATAATTCCCCTATAGAAATACTTTACAGTCATAGACTTAACCGTAGCACAACACCATTGTATTATATGAGTATGAAGCACATACAATTCCTCACTACAAAGTAGTATGACATATCTGTCCGCAAATAACAATAAGCGGTCTTTACTGCGCACAGAATTCCATCATCTCTTTCACCATGAACAGAATATGTCGCGGAGGTGGAAAGGAGATTGATCATAAGGTCACGACACGCCTATAGGGACGTGCGACATCCATCACCACTGATAGTTGTGGTCTCGCATTGTTCCAGTAACCGTGTATCACACACTTGCACTCATCATGCTGAGCCGTAACAATTAGTCGTTGTACCAATAACGTTGTACCAATAACACAGTTGTACCCATAATCCCGTTGTACCAATAATAACGTTGTACCAATAATACGGTTGTACCCATAAGAACGTTGTACCAATCATACAGTTGTACCAATAATTACATTGTACCATAAGACTATGCCAGCCACCACGTGTACTCTGTTTACATCCATGGGTCACATTCCCAGCCCGCACGCCTGCTTATCCCTACGACCCCCATATTGGACTGTAATTAACAAAATACGTTTCACTATTCTGGACTACCCTATTACGGCTTAGTATTAGAAAAATATCTACAACAATTATATTTACACTGGCTTCATATTGCCAATATGAAATGAACACGAAATGACCTCGTGCCTAATTGTATTACACACCTGGCATGACATCATGGCTAGCTACCGCTTCATGTAACTTTGGCTTAATACTGGCTAAATACTCAATGACAGCTTAGTATACCATTATGTACATATACATATCAATAATTTGTGAAAACATTGTAACACTCACTCCCGGGGAGTCTTCCTACCCCGCTCTAGCCCTTCATCGTGTCCACCCTGCCTCTATCAGTATTAACTGGTGACTGCCCCGAACTAACCCGGGTTCCTTGCTACGGCGCATTACAGCCATAATGCATTTTGATTGGTTAGTAATAATAATGCAATAACAACCTTATCCGATGATTCCCCCTCACACAATAACAACTTCCCATCTGAATTACTCGGTCCATACTCTAAATCACCAGAATTCCAAACATCCCCAATTTAACTATACTACTTAACGAAGTTCCTGACTTCCGGTATATTTACATAGACTTACACAAGTGAAGCGTTAATTCTGGAAAAGAAAATTAGTCCATCAACTTGAGACACATAGGAAAGTTCTAAAACAACGTTTATAGATCATGCTTTTAGCATTGTAAATATGAAGATGTAAAATGCCCGATTAAGAGGTACATTTCTATATTCAAATGATGCATGAGTGTGAAGTTGAGTTCATGTCATTTTCATCATTCGAACTCAGTCGAATATGTCACATCAATGTTAATTTTAGATTATTTTCAGGATCAGATGCGTCTTTCCTGGTTATCAAAAACTATTGATAGATTCATTTCAGGTTTAAAAAACAATAAGAGGAAGCATAAAGTTACCGAGAAATTACAATATTGGCATAAAATCATTTGATGAAGAATATTTCCTATGTTGTGTTAATTTCAATAAAGGAAGCGCAAGGCGATATTCTGTGTATAACCGGTTTAGACTGTCTTTTGGTTTCGTTATCCAGGTTGCAAAGTAAACGGTAAATGTTACTCCAAAGGCAAGACGTGGAAGGAAGACTGTAAAACTATGCGGTGTTACGTTGAAAAGAACGGATATGGCGTGCTAGTGGCTACACCTAAAATTATAAGTGGAGGTAAGTTGTTTCTGATATATGGTCAATAAGAAGTACATCCGCACCAATAATGTAGCAAGGCAGGGTAAGTTCACTACCCAAATCAACCACACAGATGTCGGTACATAAAACGAGACTGCTTATCATATCAATCGATTAATGAAAATTACTTAAACATTTCAGTGTTCATGTATTATCCTAATCTAGCTTTCTTATTACTTGAAGCCACTTATCTGATTAAATGCTAATCTAAATTTTTTTCCCTGTATTAATGTATTGGTAATATGTTTATATTTTATTATTTTTCGGTTTCCATTTTCTTTCTAGAAGTTTAAAATGCAGGTGGTTGGAAACAGGCATATTGGTGTTTTCAAAACTGCTTACAAATATGATGATTTTCAATAATATAATTGCTTTTAACAAATTCAAATGGAATTTACTATCAACTGTGAATCTGAGGCTTTCCGAGTGCTAGCAATATAAACATCTTTCTCAAACGGTTGGGCTTAGGCGTTTAGACATTCTTGTTCACCTATGAATGAGTATTTTTCTTTCTCCTATCATGTTAGCATTGATGTTCGATGTTTTCGAAGCGTTTTTTCTGGAAAAGAGGATTAGTTCACCAACTTGTGAGACACCTTGGAAAGTTCTGAAACAACGTTTATAGATCATGGATTTATCATTGTAAATATGAAGATGTAAAATGCCCGATTAAGAGGTACATTTCAATATTCAAATGATTCATGAGGCTTAAGTTGAGTTCATGTCATTTTCATCGTTCGAACTCAGTCGAACATGTCATATCAATGTTAATTTTAGATTATTTTCAGGATCAGATACGTCTTTCCTGGTTATTGAAAACTCTTGATCAATTCCTTTTAGGGTATACAAAATAAGAGAAAGCATAAAGTTACCGAGAAATTACAATATTGACAAAAAAACATTTGATAACGAACATTTCCTAAGTTGTGTTCGTTTCAATAAAGGAAGCGCAAGGCGATATTCTGTGTATATACGGTGTAGATTCTCTTTTGTTTTCGTTATCCAGGTTGCCAAGTAAACGGTCATTGTTACTCCAACGGCAAGACGTGGGAAGAAAACTGTGTTACTATGCGGTGTGACGTTCAAATCAAAGACCAGTACTACTCGGCTACCACTAAAATTATAAGTAGAAGTAAGTTATTTCTGTTATAAGAAATAATAATAAATGTGAATCAACATTTCTATTTTGTTGATGGTATTTCTTATGGTCTATTAATAGTTTATCATTCCTGCTCATTACATTGAAACATGTTTCATTCCAACTGTTATGTCGGTAGTGATGTAATCCATGTTAACGTCTTACTGTAAACTGTAGATAAGAGCTATGGAAAACACATTATCCTATGGAGACATCAGTTGTTTTAAAAGTCTTCATACACGGCGCAGTTCATTCGATATTCAGATGCCTGTTTCCGATATTCGTGATAGTTGACGACACATTCCAGAAAAACACTTTTACGAAAGATGCAGGTTGATGGCTAATATTGCAATAGTTGTTAGAGTTGGTTCTGTTAATTGCATTGGCCTAGATTTTCATAGCAGGCGGCTTCAAAGAAACAGAATATTCTTGCCCTTCCGAGATCCAAGGCCATACTATCACTGTTCATGGTTAATGTTTTATCACTCCTGATTTTCGATCACAAAATGTCCATTAGGATATTTCATTGTTGAAGTATTCTATTGAAGTTAGGAATTAATGATTATACAAAAGACATATAAGAGCATAGCGCATTTCGATACAACAACAACAATAAAAACACCATGTTTACTGAATCACAATTTAAACGACAATTCGACGGAGCTAGAGCAAATGATAAAAAAAACAGAAAACTTAACAGGACACTTTCTTTGATGATGTCACAATACATATGAAGCCAGGACGTCACAATTGAAACAACGGAAACCTGAGCCAATCACAACTGTATTAAACGTAAAAATTATATCCGTTTCAAAATACAATTGATGTCACGTGTGTTATTACACTGATAGCAGTGTAGCTTTGTGATAAATATACGAATTTAAACATGTTTTCTTTTTATCTTTGTAATTATGGAAGAGACGACATGCATAATTTAGAACTTATGCTTAATGTGATCCCGTCGCTTTTATAATAGAAATGCTGCCAGAGCACTCGATATTTCCTTGCGCTATTATTTACCCTGCCTTAACTTGGCGTCTCTGTATACATTGCAGGTGTAACGTAAACAAGTCATGCTAAATCTTCACTTCTTTTATAAAATGTTTTTTGTTTTTTTCAGAATGCAAATCTTCGTATGGAAAATGCATTTCCGACGGGAAGTATTTTCAACATAAAATTAACAACACGTTGTACACATGTAAGTGTGAAATCAATGGCAACACAGCCAGTTTTAAACAGTGTTCTATTCCATATTAATTGTCAACACAGAATGACATGACGGATTAATAAAGCATCTGAAGCAGAATGTTTTTCGAGATTTTTTTTATTCAAGATTTAGCAAATAGTGTTATGGTCCAATACGATACGGATTTACATTACAACGATTCGTCCTATAGGACCATGCCATCATTTCTGAAATTTCTTTACTGGTATTTACATTTTATAGAAATGATAGGAATTATTGTCACATATTGTCCGCTGATAAGCAGTTCAGGATATGCATAGCATTTCATTACTTACTTCGATAAACCAATATGTACATGTGTGTCGTCTATGAAGCAGAATACGCTTACTCTTCTGGAACACCTTGTCTTATTCTCTTTGATATTTTTTCATGAGTCTGTGCGTAAATATTTTTTTGTTCATATGTTGCTCTAGTTTCATGAATCTGAGTTTGGATTATGATAATGTTCATATGTCGACACCTTCCTGAAAAGTCGATCTTAATATATTTTGTCTACACCGCAATGATTGAGTAGCCAATATAAATACGTATTTCTGAATACAAACATAATAAACGCCATTGGTGTCACAAACTAATAAAATCAATTTACATGCCAAAGGGTAAGTGTCTTCTGGCGTGCAAAGTCAATTTAGTAATATCACAATTTCAAATGAGAGCAAAATAAACAATATACATTGGTTTGTAATCCACACTCCACAAAAATTGTGATCGTCCTATAAAATCTGGACGACATATCATAAATCATGCTGTCGTACGTCTGCGTGTGTTATATTAGTAATCAAAATTTTGACGAAAAACAAAAATAATAAAAACCGACAACAGTCATATGGTTTAATGTTTGATTTTATTTTTATTTATACGATACATTGTATTCGTTGTTGGTGTGTGTATCGATAACACGTTTATGTATCGACAACATACCAGCGTCGGACAATACAACTTAGGACTCCGACACTTTCGGTCACGTCAGGAAGCACCAAAATCCTAAATGTTTCGACTGACTATGGAATGGCACATACCGGCATTCCTTGGGGATAACCCTGGGCAGAAGTAACTTGTTCACACATACAATCAAGGATGACATCATCTGACTGATATTTAACGGCTTCCCCGTATCCCTTGCATGTCCCATCTGCGTCCTTACATACTGACAAAAAAGTGTAAACAAGATATAGAGAGAACACATCATGAAATGCTGTAAAGACGCAAGCAAAATAAAGTTAAAGGTCAAGAATTAATACTTATTCATCAATACGTCCAGAAATGTTGATTCCCATATATTTACCTCATATATTGATATAAGTATTTTAAGAAAATGAAAATCACTCTGATTCTTCACATTTATAACTCACATGAAAACAAAATCCTGAAATGAAACATTGAAACTGTACTGTGTAAGGCATGAGATAATTGTGAAACATTTATTTCTTCAATGTGGTAATGAGTCATTACAAATGTAGGACAAACGTCACGGTCAAGGTCACAGGGTCAAAATATTTGGTACCATCGGAAAAGTTTTGTCACAAGGAACATACATTCCAAATATGAACGCCCGACTTCGTACCGTGTAAGGGTCGAGTTAAAGTTGAGAGCAGACAAACAAACAGAGAGACAAACAAACAAACAGACGGCACGAAAACAATATGCTCTCGATCTTTCGATACGGGGACATCAAAACATGGAAAATACTATTTCGCTAACAATTTGCATGGAATTATCAAGAAAAGACATATCTCTTCATGTAATGAGAAAAAAATAAGGAACAATTAATATACTATTAGAAATTCCATCAACAAAATAGAAATGTTGATAACGGGTCATTTCTATTATGGTTTCGTAAACATGAAATAACTTACTTCCACTTTCAATGTTAATGGCAGCCAGTGACTTGCCCTCATCTGTCACATTAACGTCACACCGCCTATTGTAACAATCCCCTTCCTGCCACGTCTCACCATTGTAGTAACATTTACCGCTCGATGCTCTGCAACCTGCATAACGGTAAAACAAGACAATCTAAACCGGTTATGACTAGAATATCCCTTGCGCTATATGTTACTGAAAAGGAGAAAGAAAATACTCATTCATGGGTAAATGAGAAAATCTCAACGCCCTAGCCCCACCGTTTGAGAAAGATTATTAGATTGCAAGTACTCGGAAAGCCTCAGATTCGCAGTTGATAGTAAATTTCCTTTGTATTTGTTCAACACAAGTACATGAATGAAACTCATCATATTTGTATGCAGTTTTGAAAATATGCACGTTTCCAACCAGCTGCATTTTAAACTACAAAATAATACAAACAACCTGGAAATGTTACAATACAAACACATTTCCAATATATTCTTAAAAGAGAAAAAATATTTTGATTAGTATTTAATCAGATAAGTGGCTTAAGGTAATAAGAAAGCTAGCTTAGGATAATACACGTACACTGAAGTGTTTTAGTTATTTCCATTAATCGATTGATATGACGAGCAGTCTCGTTTTATGTACCGACATCTGTGTGGTTGTTTTGGGTAGTGAACTTACCCTGCATGCTACTTCTTATTGATCTTATCATATTTGACGTCACATCGCCTTGTAACACACGACGAAGCATCAAGATCTGACCATTCATCCTTATCATATTTACAGCCCTCATCTGTCGAACAACCTGTAAAAATGAAATATCGCCATAATTTTACGGTTCATCTGCTTGAACTATGTCTCACAGTACATATCTGCAGTATGTCCGACGTTACAACCTACCTGTCTTAGTTATTTCTCACAATATCAACCACCTGCTTGAACTATGTCTCACATTATACCTGTCTGCAGTATGTCTGACCTAATAACTTACCTGTCTTAGGTATTTCTCACAATATCAACCACGTTCCTGAACTATGTCTCACAGTACATATCTGCAGTAGATCCGACTTTGTAACCTACATGTCTTAGGTATGTTTCACTGTTTAGCTCACAAGTCTGGAAAATGTGTTTCATTAGAAGTTATCGGTCTGAACTTCTATCAGATCTTATAACATGCTTTTTTCAAATATGTCTATCTAACATGCCTATCTCAGATATGTCTGACTCTATAAATAAGACCCAAAATGTCTGTTTCTGGTTCTTGCATAATAAAAGTAGGATAAGAAAGTTTTTCATTTCTTTTTAATACAATGATTAATTGCTTTTGACACAGACTTCTCAAGTACAGTATATTGATTATGGAAGAGTCCATGATCATGAGTCTGTTATGTTAAAGTGTCGCACGTGTGTAGTACGAGATGTTTCCCGAGCTGAATATCACAATCTGCCAGAACGATTGTTCTGTTTAATTTTTTAGTCTTTTCTGTACTATCATATGCCGAGATTTCCCCGGACAGCTGTACAGACGAGAGGATTCCTATATAATTCCCCTCCACCTACCATCGGGAGGGTTGAACCGAAAATGAAAATAAAAAAAAGATAAAGAAGCAAAAGTTTCGTCAATATCTTTCGAAGCAAAGCAGAGTTATCAAAAGTTCATGATGTCTTCCAAGTTTGTTTTCTCTTTATTAATTATATTTGTCTTATCTCCTTTTTTCGGTTCCCATCCATTGTATCTTTTGTTCTTGCACGATGGTATTCCATTTTGTTTTTCTTTTTTTCCCATCCATATCTTGTTTATGTTTGCGTGTATATTTTATTACACACATATATCGGCACGGTTATAAAACTTTGTTGCTTTTTTATATAGAAATATACAGGTTTTTAAACTGAACTAAGATGCCAGTCACTTTTGACGGTTTTGCGACGGACGTCTTTCCAGAAAGATGTCAACAGAATAATTGACATCGAACTGTATGTAGATATATTAAGCGTCTAGGCGAATTTGCTTCATAGTACTGCTACTTCTGTGGATTGCCAGCAAATAAAACATAATCAAAAGTATTTTCCAAAATGTTGAGGGAAAAAAGAGAAAAAAAAACAACAACCTACAAACAAAACGAAAACTGGAGTCGGTAGCAAAAACATGTTGGTGGATGAAAAAACGGAAAATAGACATTTTTGCCTTATCTGTCTCAAGTGTGCCCCACCGTAAATCTTAACAGTCTAAAGTATGCCTCACTGCTTAATTACATAGACAAAATCGTAGTCATTACCTGTCTTTACTATTTTCCACTGCATGAATTTCCGCCTTTTTGATAGGACACAAATATGGGTGGTGCAGTCGGCAAATTTTGTTGCACCTTCATCTTCACATCCTCCATCCTTTGGACATCCTATCCGACAAGACAAACATTTAATATAAGATCGTTAGCTATTGCTAAACATGTTCTCATGGACTACCATTGTTCAATACATTGACATACTAAATGAGGTTTGCTAATAGTTCTGAATATCATTTGTCATGAATGAACTTGTATCGACAGTTAGATTAGATTGATGTAGAGATACAAACACAATTGATAAATGTTGTGTGACCACACCTAGACTTGTCGATGAACTGCCTCGGAATCATGCATTCCTGTTTCTTACACACACCCTAACTAATCCCCATCACAACTGTTACACACAAACGCTGATATATCTTCTCGGTAAAGGATAAGATGTTTCTACCATTTAAAGTTGATTTATCATCGTCGTATTCCCGATGTGAGTAAAGAGCGAGTAAACAGAAATGTATTAATACTCAAGAACAAAACCAAAACGTGACATCTATACGAAAAACACAGTGAATCGGAAAACTATCGGTTTTTTTATCCTGAAAAATAAAACGAAAAATTCGCTCGAAAATGGTATCCATGAGAGGAAGTGACATCGACAGTTAAATGTATCATACTTATTTTGACGAATTCATGAGTACCATCACAATTTAAAATTTACTTCTAAAACTGGGCGAAGTTTAAAGACCTTGTGATCATTATTTGAGTTTACCTTTTGTTCTGCTGTTGATTTTTTGAAAGATTAGTTTAAAGAAAGTAATTAATATATATGTGATCAATGAACTAATAACGACAGCACGGACAAGTGAATTGTCAAATTTTCGAGGAAACCTGCCCGTTTATCAAGACACAAATATTACATCAATTATATCACATACGTAGAACATAAAACAATTACAAAGTTAAAAACTAATATGGAGAGCGGTGGTGTAAATGTAGATGTCACGATAATCCCTTCGGCCGATGGACGTCGTAAGCCCTTTATAAGGGACAAAAACATCTTAGGATGTGTTATGAAAGATGATGATTCAAATATCAAAATGTTTTACATAAATCTAGGTATATTGTGCAATGTTGTCACTCTGAGTAATTTTAATAAATCAGTGTACAGTAACAATCACAATACTTTTTATTGTAACTATATATCCATTCATTAAACATTTACAACAAATTTTCTTATTTGTAATCAACCAATTCCTTTCTTAAGAGTGTTGCCTCTTAGTGCCATTTTTGAAATTATTATTTGTGATGTGTTATACTATGCCCATGTCTGTATCATTGGGTATGTAACTATTTCAAGAGAAAACTTACATTGTCTGTGTCTGTTGGTCACTCCATTTTCAAACTGAAATTGAAATTTGTTGTAATAATTCATGCAAAACTTATTTTATATTGAATTATGTACATTCGGTCGAACATGGTTTTCAGGCATCCTTCAGAATATATCACTGAGTCATAACACAAAAAACGGGGTCGCTCTAATTAAACCATAGCATGAGTGCACCCTAGTTTTTGTGTCAAGAATCAATACTTAAAATAATAAAAGATAATTCATATAATGCAATCACAGACTGTAAAATGTTTGACATTTTTAATGAACTATTTTTATCGATGATAACATCTTGCACTGCGCATTGACCAATCAATCGTGACAAAATGACGTCAAGTGAAAAGTCTTCTTTCATAGGGGATTGAAATACGATAGCTGTTAAGATTTTTGTATCAAAATGAAATTAAGTATTGCCATAGATGTTTAAATATATGTTTACCGTAATATTTTTGTATTAATTTGGCAATGTACTCTCCCTTCTTTTTTCTATATATACATATTGTATCCGTGCATTTTTTCTGGTTTCTCAACTTGTTTCGCTTTCCGGATCGTAAATATGTACCATCCTCTAATGGGCAGCCTGGAAAAATAAACAGATTATCGTGATATACAGAATTGTATAAATGATATATTGTGTCGTGTTCACAATACAAAATATGCCATACATGACTTAATGAAATGTCAGAATATAGCATATACATTTATATACATAAGAACACTTACAAATGGATGACCTTTGTCTGGATAGACAGCAGTTTGTAATGAAATGTTTTCTACTGTCAACAAAGTATTTATTTTATCTGAGATGGTTTCTAAATATCATTTGGGCTATTTTCAGCTTTTATGTCACGTGTCTGGATAGAAGAGACCCATGCTTTTTCTTTTTCATCAATGAACTTAGATTGGCCTTTAATCAGAAATAATTTTATAAGGCAAGTTTTAAGTGTGTCATACTGGCTCTGTTCAGCGGTCTGGCAGTTTTTGGATAATCTATATAAACTATACCTATTAATCCTAAGAGTTCATCTTTGTCTATAACTTACCATATGGCCTTTCTTTATAGAGCATCGTGAATGTTCCATCACTGTTTGCCTTCTGTCGAAAAATTTCCTGAACGCACCTAGCTTCATTCACTGTACACCTTTCCTTATATGGTTATAGGAGGACATTGTGTACCTTTCCTTATATGGTTATAGTAGGACATTGTTATATGGTTATAGGAGGAAATTGTACACCTTTCATTATGTGGTAATAGTTGGTCTTTGTATACCTTTCCTTATATGGTTATAGTAGGACATTGTATAACTTTCCTTATATGGTTAAAGAAGGACATTGTAAACCTTTCCTTATATGGTTATAGGAGGAAATTGTAAACCTTTCCTTATATGGTTATAGTAGGACAGTGTACACCTTTCCTTATATGGTCATAGAAGGACATTGTGTACCTTATTTGGTTATAGGAGGACATTGTACACCTTTCCTTCTATGGTTATAGTAGGACATTGTGTACCTGACATGGTTATAGTAGGACATTGTGTACTTTATATGGTTATAGTAGGACATTGTGTACCTTACATGGTTATAGTAGGACATTGTGTACCTTATATGGTTATAGTAGGACATTGTGTACCTGACATGGTTATAGTAGGACATTGTGTACCTTATATGGTTATAGTAGGACATTGTGTACCTGATATGGTTATAGTAGGACATTGTGTACCTTACATGGTTATAGTAGGACATTGTGTACCTATGTACCTTATATGGTTATAGTAGGACATTGTGTACCTGATAGTAGGACATTGTGTACCTTATATGGTACCTTATATGGTTATAGTAGGACATTGTGTACCTGACCTAGTAGGACATACATGGTTATAGTAGGACATTGTGTACCTTATATGGTTATAGTAGGACATTGTGTACCTTACATGGTTATAGTAGGACATTGTGTACCTTATATGGTCATAGCAGGACATTGTGTACCTTATATGGTTATAGTAGGACATTGTGTACCTGACATGGTTATAGTAGGACATTGTGTACCTGACATGGTTATAGTAGGACATGTGTATCTTACATGGTTATAGTAGGACATTGTGTACCTGACATGGTTATAGTAGGACATTGTGTACCTTACATGGTTATAGTAGGACATTGTGTACCTTACATGGTTATAGTAGGACATTGTGTACCTGACATGGTTATAGTAGGACATTGTGTACCTTACATGGTCATAGTAGGACATTGTGTACCTTACATGGTTATAGTAGGACATGTGTATCTTACATGGTTAAAGTAGGACATTGTGTACCTTACATGGTTATAGTAGGACATTGTGTACCTTACATGGTTATAGTAGGACATTGTGTACCTTTGAACCATCACGTAGATTATAAAGTTAGACCTATATATTTGATATTTATACATTAAGTAATGAGCATTGTCATGATAGATCTCACCATCAACGCATGTGTCAATATTTTGGCTGAATAAGGACTCTCTCCTCATAAAGAAAAAATATGATGATCCTAATATTTTCATTTCCGTTAAAAAAAACCGAATGATCAAAGTATTCACTGCTCATGTAGGATCTATTTATTATAAAATAGCTTTAATCTTTTATCCATACATGTTACATATCGAACATGTAGAAAAATGTCAATTTTGGTAAAACATCGAATCCAATAGTGACAAATTGTAATTGTATTTCTTTCAATAGGTCCTTAAAAGCAGTAGCAAGAACAATCGCAACCTTTAGAAGTCGAATACATTTTCTTTCTACCATTGATTCACTATGATACAACAATACTTTTAGGTGAATATGTATTTTAGTTTACAATTTGATACACTAAGGTTTCAATTGAAATGGTGTTAACACTTCCGTGTTTCTGGATTGTTTGTCATGGAAGGAAATGGACAATACAACAACTTCTCTGCCTTGTTTAATTAATTAATATTTTGACCATTAAGCGGTTTTCATGAAAATAAATAAAATGAGGGTCGTCTTTACTGCTGTGCTTACAAATCTTTTTAAATAGCCCACATGTACCAGACTCAATTGGTTAGATCCGTAAGTGATCGCAACCGCTGGAGGTTTGAAAATGACCCAGTGCCCATAATGTATCGTGCTATGAATATTATTTACTAGAAATTTATTGAAATAATACAATAATATGGTAAAGGTAAATTAAAAGACTCGCTTTAGGACATACTTAACAATCTGTTGACGATCTTGTATGTTAAATCATTGTTCATTTTCTTGCAAATGTAGGCATTACATTTCTCCAGGCGTTTAGCTCCGACTGGTACACAGGTGACGTCATCAAGGGCCGTGCATTGTCCTGGAAAACATAAGTACGCATGGTATATTCATATGATGCATTTTTTCGTTATTCCTGTTTTTTCGAATTGTCTTTGATGGAACGCATTCTGTCTATTACATTGATCCCATTTTTATAGATATGTAATTAGTAAGATGCTTTATTACTAATGATATAACTGTCAATTAAATTCCAACTGTTATACTTCTTACATACCATACCATAAGGCAAATATTTGATTAAATAAAATTATTATGTATTTTTTTCATAAACAAATGATACAATTGATATTATTAAAAAATAAGAAATAAATGTGACTTGAGGAAAAGTCTTCTTCTTTCAACACATGAATCAATGGAATTTCTTTATATACAAAATTTAAGTATTATGCCATTGTCTTTAACATTGGTAGTTTAAAAGAAGTAATTTCTTCTTACCTTTAGATAAACATTCATCATTGCCAGCAAAAATCACCGGCAAAATGAAAATGGCGGTACACAATGTTAAGACGTACATGCTTGTCTGGAACGTGAGTGTGTGTGAACAAAACGAAATACGTCTGCTATTTATTTCTTATAACCTAATCGCTCAACAATGCTATACGTGTCGGTAATCTGAAAATTATATTCTGTTTCATGCCTTTGGTTTCATTGAACAAAACCAAGACAATACCGATGTGAAAACAAAACCACTATTCTAACACATGATTGATAAAACTATCACGAGATATTATTTGACAAGATTTTCACAGAGATCATTACAAAATATACAAAGAACAAGACTAATCGGTTTAGGAAATGTAAGTTTTGATTTATTATCATAAGTCTTTGTCTTCTAATGTGGTAGACAGTTCTCAAAGAGCACGATTGGAGATTTAATATTGCATCATAAAGCAATATATTATTTCAACCAATGTTCGTCCTTTTGTTTGTCGTTTTTCAATTCATCAAAAAACAGTTACTTTCCTTCGGCTGTTACAATTGCGTCAACAACACAGTCCGCCGCGGAACATGATTTATGTTTAACAACCCTTTCTTGTTAGCCTGTGTCCCTTTGATGTTATTTACATAACCCATAATCTGATAACGGAATCAATTGTTGTTGAGAAATAGGTTGTTAGAGGAAAAACTTTAAAGTTTTTTTGTTTTTTTTTTTTACTTTTTTCGGGATATACACTTTTACTTGAAGTTCTTTTGGGGGGGAAATCATACACCGAAGTCATGAAATGTATTGAATTATAGGGAAAATACTAATTCTATTGTAGTTTTTATCGATTTTCGTCGGTCATATCCTAGTTTTCAACACTATAAGTACTAAGTATTACTAACGCGTCCTTAAACAACAAATCAGTCTTAGGAAGCATTTAAATAATTGTAAATTTGCATTAAATGGTGCTATTCACATGTGCGTTTTGTACAATCTATTGTTATTCGTGAAAACACATCACGTTACATAGTATGTTGATTAAATAAAATAATTTCATTCCGGTACTGATATAAAATTGGATCTTCAATGAAATTTATGCATCACATCGTAGGCAACTTTCAGACAGGTAATTAAGATTGAAAGTTTTTACGAAAAAGAAAGAAAATTGTCTTATTCATTATAACTTGAAAGTTATAGTTATGGACAGTATATTCAGGAAAATTATAAAATATAATGAAAACCAGTCGACCTTGTAAGCAATCCTTTAATAACAACTTCAGTGTTTATAAAACTTGGCATTACTGACCACTTGAAGGACAGAATAAGGACGATTCTAATAATGCCATTGGAAATTAATTCTTTTCTAGGGGAATTTACAGTTTTCCATGTGTTATTTTAACAAACAGCGCAGAAGAAGACTAAAATAATGCATGCACATCTTGATGAGAGATTTCAATATCAGACGAATAAGCTTTGGCCTGTAACTATTATCAAATTTAAAGAACCTGTATACCTGAACATTTTTCCTTTGGTCAACTTTCATGCTATTACTTAAATGTGTAAGATATTAAGAAGTTGTAAATCGCAATAAACAGAACTAAACTGTTTCCAAATGAGGGACTCATTTTAAAATTAACGCGATATTGTAAAGTGACGAATCATCCTGCTGCTTCTGTTCTATTTGGGAAATACAGGGCAGGTAGTTTGACCGATAGAGTAGCCTTCCGTCGATATAATTTCATCACATACGCAAACGCCCTCCTGCGTCAACACTTCATTACCATATCCACACAGGATCCGTCTACCGCTTTGCAAAATGGGGACAACACGTGATATGAATAAACAATATCAATAAGCAATGACATGGAGCAAGTTCAACAGGCGAATGATATTGTTAAATCAGGATTGTGATACGTTTCTCAAATATATGATTGAATCAACCTACCACAAGCAATCGTACTTAGATAGCATAAAAAGGGAAATGCACTGTACATGTCTCATTAGTCAGCAGCGAAAAGAGAATTAATATTAAAATATATTTTATAGTGTGATCCTTGTACCCTTGATCAACTAGATCGCAGAGATGCATGGAACGTTACCAACTTGTTAAATGTCACAATGATAGTAATGACGGAATCGCGCCCTTTAATAACTTTTTATCTAGTGTGTCATGATATTTGCCATGAGTGTGAAATATATGTTGGGAAATGATTCCGAAGATTTATACATCATTTAGTATCTTATTAGAGATTACTTACATCCACCTTTAATGCCAGTCCTTACACTAGATCCCCCGTCTAGTGTGTCACTAACTGTACAATTCTTCGTGAACCATGTGTCATCCAACCAGGTATCTCCGTGGTAATAACATGTTCCACTGTGTGATCGACAACCTGCAAAACAATCAGATTAATTTGCGTAAAGTAAAACTGGTAATATTAAAACCATAATATACAAATAAAATTAATCTGGAAAAATAAAACCAGTGATCTCAAAATCATTATTTACAAATCAGACTAATTACGGTTTAATTAAACTAATGAGCTTAGAATTATAATAAAGTTAACTTTAGGTCTTTCTCTTCTTCATCAATGTCATATATTTACACAGTTGACGTGGTTTTGGTTTTCAATGCCAACTAGTGAATATATTTCATAGAGTTATTTTAGAAGTTAAACAATAATTCAATGGTGAAAGTAAAAGTATCGGAGTAAATATAGTCTAACATATATACCATAAGAAGTTCGTGTTGGGAACATGTTTTAAAAAGGCTGACAATATAGGATGGAGAAGTGAATTCTAAGAGCGAAAAAATAGTTCTCGACTGTGACCAATTACAAGAAAATCCTTAATGACATTTTGTAATGAAATTTACTGATTAGAGCCGAAAACACAATTGACATACGAGCATTCACAGAAACAATTCTATCACCACCCAAATATTCTTCTAGAAATAAATAAATAAATAAATAAAACATATGAGATCTTACGCATTATCAATATAATTAAGAGGACGCTATACTATAGATAAAAGGTCTAAACAAAGCAAAGAAAATAGTAGGAAGGATGAAAAAAATAATCAAATACCCTAAGTGTTGCATTGAGGGCAGTAAATTCATTTAGGTCGCTCCTATGGCTGTATAATGCAATTTGATAAATTATTTGGCTCTACTGAATCTAAATCTAAATATATCTTTAAGATAGACACGACTTTAAATCCCAAGCTTTGACGAAATCTGCTTGTCACGTTTAATTCATTCGAATAGTGGTAGGTTTAAGAAAATACACATGTGCTTGACACTTTTATAAAATTATCTGATGTATGAAAAATTGCGATTCTTTAAACAGAAATATATGAATTTGCTGCACCTCCCCATTTAGATTTTGACTTTTCTTTTGATCACTTGGAATTTTCCGTAGTTACCTCCTAGGCTTCAATATTTTAGTCCCAAAGCATTATTGACGAGTCCTAGAAGGATGAAACAGATGTATTAAATTATAGAAAGGTGTTATTCAATTGTTCGGCTTCTGCACAATCTTAGTGTTAAATGAAGTTATTTACTTGTATGTCTTGTACAATCTTAGTATTAGCGGGGGTTATTTACTTGTTTGTCTTGTACAATCTTAGTATTAGCGGGGGTTATTTACTTGTTTGTCTTGTACAATCTTAGTATTAGCGGGGGTTATTTACTTGTTTGTCTTGTACAATCTATTTGTTGTCATTTGGAAGGTGGAGTAACAGATTACTGTGACGAACGATTGAAGTCTCCCCATTTGTGATCCCCGTTGTAATCTTTCTCAACGAACATCGTTTTATCACACTCATGGACTTATTGTCCTCGTTCCATTGTTCTGTGTGGTTCTTACACCCGTCAGCATCACTGCAGCCTGGCAACAAAGACAAAATAGCAAGTTCACCAAAATATCTGGCAAAAATGATTAGTAAGTAGTATAAAACAATGCATCTAATCTTTTTGTACAGCTATTATTAGTCAGTTAAATCGGATACGTTTTAGGTAATAAAGAAAAAAATACTTCTCAATATGAAGACTTTTATACGATGTTGCAAGAAGAACTATACAAAAAGCAATATAATTTTTTTACAACATTTGCAGACATAGTATAGTCAAATAATGACACAAACTGTATCATACGGCTGTCTTTGTAGTAATTTTGGGCATTGAAATTCAATAAGCACTATGCATGTTATCAATATCATTTTACGTTATGACAGAACTTTGTTTATTTGGTTCCGTATATCAGAGAATAAATTCTAAGTGACAAACTGACCTTGGTGTACGATTTTCCAATTCATGTAGACACCATTGTTGACGATTCCGTGGCATGGAATGTCGGAGAATAAAGACGTGGGTAAATGTTTTTTGCTTCATCGACGACACTTGTCAAGCCTAACTCATTCTAAATATTGTAATGTGATATTCTCAATATGATAACTGGGAAAATAGCTATTAAACTTCCAAAGGACACACACAGAAATGCACAGGACACCCACAAATACATAGAACACACACAGAAATACATAGGACACACACAGAAATACATAGGACACACACAGAAATACATAGGACATATACACAAGTACATAGAAAACACACACAAGTAGATAGAAAACACATATAAAAACATAGGACAAACAAAGTAATTCATAGAACACACACAGAAATACATATTATTTACTCAGTCTTCTTCATCCGTAACAGAACGTGAATGCAGGTGTTCCACAAGGTTCTGTCCTAGGGACCTTATTTTTTTGTTTATATAAATGATATTTCTTATAATCTCGCTTCCCTATTTAGACTTTTTGCTGACGCTACTTCCCTCTCTTACTCATCCTGTGACTTATTGAAAATGGAGCAAAATTTGATTTGAGAAAACGTAAAGTTTGGTCAAAAGTCTGGTTGGTGTCTTTAAATCTCAATAAAAATGAGGCTCTAGGCGTAACAAATCGCCACCTACAGTTTAATCTATCACTTAATTTAACAACACTCTAATCCGTATTACTAATCATCATAAACACTTAGGAGTCCTCCTTACTAACGACTTTAAGTGGAAAAGTCATGTTGAGTATA